CTCGAGGTTCTTGCTGGAGAGGGCAACAGCCCGGACAACGCGATTTCCGAGATCTACTCCTTCAAGGGCGCGACCGGTTCCGGCGCAAGCTCCTTCGCTCGTCCCGCGACCCCCTCCACGTATGCTGCCGTCTTTGACGAGCAGTCGGGTTCTATCCTGATTCAAGAACTTACCGAGTGGGACTACACCCAAAACGCCGTCACTCGCTCGCTCGTCGACGGTTACCTGGCCACGACCGGCCTTACGACTGTGCCCTTCAACACGAACACCCGCCGTGCGGACCGCCGCAGCATCATGGCCGCGCACAAGCGTCACCCCCACCACTAAGTGGTTTCTTACGCCTCATAGACTCACCCATGGGCGTCGGTGCGTGCCCGACGCTTTGCTCCATACCCTTGTCCGTTATGTTCGTGCTATTTGTTCGTCTACTGCGTAGTTCGTCTGCTATCCGCGCCAGCCGCCCCGTATACCCGTGTGGTGCCTCGGCCGCCACGTCACATTCTAGTAGTGGTCTCACAGCCTATGTGCATCTGCATTTGTGCTTGGTAGTAGTTTAATCATAGTATCGTGTCTTTTGGATGGGCCATGTGTGAGACTTTGCCACCATTCACAGCCATGCACCTCGTGAAGTCTACTATGACTGTGTGGGAATGAATAGGACACCGTAAGAATCCAGTGATCCCATTCAAGTTAATACCACCAAACGTGCTTTCGTCTATGTTATTATCCCTGCTGGTGGTATGTTGTTGCATGGGGTATTTTGTGCCAGTGTGGATTTTTTATTGGCGTTCACCCTCATATCGCTGTACAGGCAATATTAGTATGAGTGCGAAACGATGACGTATCCGACGAGAGTATAATATATGACTCGTTGACGCCGCCTTTTTTTCGCTGTTCACTATTTGGTCCAGTCGGCCACACGCAAACATCAGATTGCATGGTATGCGCTGTATAAAGCACCGTGAAAACGCCATGAGATGCATTGAATGAAAAGCTACAACGACCATGACGATTTCGATAAAGTGGTCAATGATGGGATATCCTCACGACCTGGATGCCGCCGACGTATTTGTCTTGTAGGAGTTTGACCCCCCAGTGAGCATCAGCTTGGACCAATCATGATCATTCGAGTTCAATCTGTGTCCGTGTGTATGCCGATTTTTCAGTTTCACCGAGGCAGAAATCCGAGTCAGGCGCTCGGCATTGCCAATGGACTCCTGCGGTGGCTGTAGCCTGAGATTAGAAGCAATCGGGCCCCCGTACTCCTGAAATCTACAAGATAAAACTCGCTACAAGCCCCTCAAGTAGCGACTTACATGCCGGAAAACCCCCCGTCGACGGCAATTAGCCCTTTGCTCGCGTCGAAACAGTGCAAGCCCCAACGTCCCGCCAAGTTCATGTTCCCTTTTTGGGTGGACTGAAGAGACTGGTCACGAGACCCAGTCGCGCTGTCAATTTCGACATGAACTTCCCGGCGTCCGTAGACTCGACTTTCCAGCTTCGCGCCGAGGCTCGCGCAGTACTTCGAAGGACTTTAACCCCCTGCCACATCCGATGGCCCATCCCAGTCTCCCATCGCCTCTCATTTTCGGCCTGTAGCCACGCGCACAAGCCACCCACGCCCACGCGCTTTGTTTGTGACTTCGATTGTGCCCTCGTTTGCTTTGGCTTGCTTTGACCTCGCGGCTGTGGCGCCTCCCGGACGCATATATAGTCCCTTAGAATCGCGCTAGCCTGCCTTGCACTCTCTCGTGCATCACCCACAGCCCTATCAGCCCACTCATCCAACGCAATGCCTAAACGTCCCGTAACGCCGCCTCCCGCAGACGACGAGCCCCGCTATTTGACTGTCGTGCATCCATACCCTCTCCACGCGAGCATGGAGCGCGAGAGCGACCGCAGGGCTTTCGTCTATTGGATGGCCACCTGCATCGGCAAGGATGATCTCTATGCGTTCTTTCATAAGCCAAAGGTCAGTCATCCCTCGCGCCGCTTCAAATCTCCAGTGGCTGATCTACGATCGTCTTATCGCGCACGAACAGTCGCCGAACATGGTCATAATCGAAGTCAATCGCGACTTCCAAGGCCTTCAGCGCGTCCTGGGTGAGCACAGATGGGCCGAAGTTTTGAGAAATCCTTCCGAGGAGGAGAAGAGTAAGGTATCAAAAGTGTTTTTCTGCAAGTATCGCTCCGGACGTGAGGTAGAGAAAAATGGTGAGTCCCGGTGACTGTGCGTGGAACGCTGTTGTTGAAATCAATGTAGGCTGGAAGCGTGTCTTCATCCAGGATAACTGGTACGAGACTCCCGAAGGGATGGCAAGATGGCGCGCTATCAATGAGTTTGTGTTGCCAGATCTTATTCATTGTTCACTTTGTCATGGTACTCCTTTCACAGTATCACCGTCCATCCATATCCACAGACCTATCGATGCGAAGTGCCCGTAGAGGACAGGACTAGAGAGCCGCTATGTCGTCCTCTGCCCGTCCGAGACTTCCCGCCTCCGCCTCCTACCCGTCCCCTGACAGGTATGTTCTTGTATCTATCACATCATTCTGTGCATTGATATACGTGTCGTGCAGTCGGCTCTGTTGCATATTACAAGAGCAAAACAGAAACCAAGGTTCCTGGTAACGCGTGGGCTTCAGGTGTTCCCTTGTCGCTGCGTTCGTCCAGCCCTGCAGCGTCTGGCTCGACCATGACAGCTCGAACCAGCGACGGTACCGGCGTCAGTCTGGGCGTCAGCAATATGAATGCCTGTCCGTAATCTGACATGTGCTTAGTGTGGCTCCGTGCTGACACACTATTGCGTTATGCAGGGAGTCAGAACACAATGGGTTATTCGCCAGGCCCCACTTTGCCCCCTGGTCTCTTGATCCCGCCGGCTGTGAATGTATCTCGTTCACCTGACGGCTCCGCCGCAAATTCGCTCGCCAGCTCGCCTGGTGATGACTGGCACGTACCTCCGGGACTCGTACGTACTTCTAGTAAAGTCTCCAGCTCAGGTGAAAGCGAGGAAATTGTTGAGCCTGCCTCGGCCTCAGAGGGCAGCTCCGTGGTGATCGTCGAAGACCTGGCCGACGCCATGCAAGGACTTCTGACCAACGACGGGATGCCCGTGGCATTTGAAGAGCAAGAAGCAATTCCTGATGGGATCGAAGTTGATTTATGGGCGGAAGACCCGGTCGTTGCGCCTGCGACGCCCGATGAAACTGTCTGGCGTTGTCCGACCCACTTCGAATTATGCAAACGAAAATTATGCACGGAGTACGGAGCGTGGGCAAGAGCTCAGAACAGGCTCAAGCAGCAGGCCGATCGGGAAGCTAAAGCTAACAAGCCGGGATCCAATGGCAAATGGCGCACTGGAGGGCGAGGCCCAGATACAGGTGGGCATCCGTTTGTTCTGTGCAAGTCCTGTAGTAGTCTAACGCCGAATCATAGACTCGAGCTCTGCCAACAAGCCCGGCTCCTGGCGCTCGAATACCGGGCGCACTCGCGGTGTCCCTCCTGCGAAGCGGGGCCCCATCCCTGCCCGCCCCGCACAACTGCAGCCGCGCCCCACGGCGAATGCATCCTCTAGCCGAGCTTCACCCATCACATCCTCTGCCCCTGCCTGCTCGGCGAACAGTGTGCCGCCGAGACCGGCACACCTTGCGCGACGACCTCCCAGTCCGCCGAGCCGCGAGGCATTGCCCAGTCCGCCGCCCGCCGCTCCAACACACACGATCCCGCCGAAGCCGGCCAGGTTCAACAAGAAGCCCGCTGCAGCATCGCCCGCCCCGGTGCAGACTCCGCCTCGCCCCGCTTCGGGTGGCAGTAACCAGGCCGAGGGACAGCGCGGCGTGCCAGCCGCCCCGTGGAGCGCAAACGTTGGTCGGCCCACGTCGCCCGGGGCTGTTAGCGATTGGGGCTCGGTCTCTGAGGGCCCGTGGGGCAACGACGGCCATGCGCCCGCTGCTTCCATGCGCGGCAAGGCTCCCATGCAGGCTCCCAGGCAGGCTCCTCGTGCTGGAGCGGGTAACGTATGGGCTATGAGTCCTCAGTACGGTATTGCTGGACCGTCTCGCGGCGCGCCGGCTCCACGTCCTACGTCCCCTGGGTCCGTGAGCGAGTGGGGTGCTGTCTCGGAGGGCCCGTGGGGGTCGAACGAGGACAGAGGGTATGACATGGAGGAGCCCGGCATGCGCACCCCGCCTGCGGGACGGAGCTGGGCAGACGAGATGGATGCTGTGGATACGATGGACGCGCGTTCGGAGGCGGATGAGTGGGACGCCGTGTCTGCGGGCCCGTGGTGAATGACTTTGGCTGTTTTCTTGTTGTCTGGACTGAATGGCCGTCGAGGTCGTCGTTGTCGTGTTTGCTGTCGCTTGTATTCCGAGTCGTGCTTGTACCATGTTGTCGAGGCGTATGCCACTGCTGTACCATGTTGTGTAGAGACTGATGCTGCCGTGTATCATGATAAAATTGATGATGTTAGTCGGTGTATGCGGCCATCGGCCGGTTGATTGTATACAACGATTACTGTACAGGTTTTTGTCCATCTTCAGCATGGGATTCGAGCCATTTCTGAACGGCACCGGGGATTGGACATGCGGTGGACTCTCCCTTCCCACCGGTGCGCTCGTACATGACCTGGCAGCACTGGTACAATTTCCGCACGTAGTCGTCGCATTTGTCTGGGCTGTACGTGTTTCGTCCGAGACACGACTGAAGTGCGCAGGCTACCACGGATGATCGTACGCAGGTGCCAATATGTCAATATTCAATGCTCGCGCTCGTCATGTACTAGTGAAGATGGCTCGTACCTTCAGCCTGACAATCGGGTTCCGAGGATGTCTGCAGAGTAATCGAATGCGATATTAGTCTCTGGCTATGCCGTACTGTTATTTGGAAGGCACACCGTGGCCATGGCTGGAGGACAAGAATTGCGATCAAGGACTGGGTCCAAAAAGCCAGAGTCACTTAAGAGTACTCCCAGTGCTTGACGGTGGCACCCATGACGATGATCGCGGTATGTCCACCCACGGTCACGCGAATTGCGTTGCGACGCGTATGTCACGTGCTTGCCTACATAAGTAGCTTGATTTCTGGAATCTAGTATGGAGATTAGAAATGCGTTCAGAGGGTTTGAAACTTGTTGTCCGCTCGGATCTCCGCTGTCGCCTGCCGTGAAACAGCATGATATGATCCTCCTGCTCGAATTATCAGGCTACTAGAGCGCTCCTACTTATCCTTATCCATGTGCCTTCACTGACTTGGTTGGCGACTTGCTTGATGACCTGGCCACAGTTTTACAAGGAGCCAGTGCTCTATCGAGGTCGGTCGAGCAGCTCGTTCGCAGGCCGCTCCTCAGATGAGGCCAAATATTGAGAGCGTTTGGCCGGCCAGGTCAGGCCGGATCCGAGGACAGTGGCTCTTCCTGAAACATGGCAAGATTGCCTTGAATTGACGCAGGCCTCCGAGCTGGCCGCATCAGCCGTTTACGCCTATGGTACTACCAAGGTACTGCCGTCGCTCCGACCGGGGCTGTGGACGAGCTTGATCTCCCGTTGATATCTATAATTTCTCCAACAGCCTAGTTCCATATTTACCTGCCGCTCTCGCTCTGTGTAGTGGCCTTTTGCGCGCGTATGGCCCTTTCTCAACTTGCCACAAGTCGCCGCTTACGCTCTGCCATCGTCCGGGGTATTTGAGCCCAGGGTGGTACACAAGCATTTCGTCTAAGGTAAGTCGTCGCTTGAGAATCATACGCAACGGCAGCATATTCATTTCCGCAGATATGTCGTCGGGTTGGCTCACCGCGGCTATATTTGTTCCCATCCTCGCAGTAGCTGTACTCGTCGTGCTTGTCATCGTCGTCATCCGCCGCCGCCAAGCGCGCCCATTGGATGTCGAGGGAAGGCTAGATCACCATCCAGGCCGCGACAAGGCCGTACTCGCGACGTTTGGCGTGGAGCAGCCGCTCTTGTTTGTATCGGACCGACCGCAGACACCAGACCAAGGAGTTGAACAGGAAAAATCCCCATATTTTCCAAACGAGTCGGAGGTCCCAGAGTTGTCGACGCAGGTATCTACTGAGCGTCGACAGACACTTTTTCAGCCTAATCGACTAGTCCGCCAATCGGTAGACGCCGCGCTCCCTGCTGTGCGTCCTTCGCCCTTGCGGCAGTTCGCTATCCCGTCCTCTTCCACCTCGACTCAGTTTGATTCCACGAGCGGCAGCGATCGGAAAGATTCTCACTCGATGTTCTTTAAGCAATTCATCCCTAAATTCATTCGCAATGATCAAGATGGCCAGAAACAGCCTCCTTCACACTTATTCGATCGTACGCCAGATGATCCGGCATCCGTGCATGGGCACCCGCCCCTCGCAGCACCAGTACATCTCGACTCAGAGCCCAACATGCAGGACAGCTCGCAAGCCGATATCCCCCCGGCAGATACCTCTGACTGCCCACCTACATCGTTGCCGTTTAGCAATCCGTGGCATTCCGGCGACGACCGTCGGGACTCCGTGCGTCAGTCGGCGTTCCCCCCCGGTACTACTCAAACAGCTGCTAGGCCAATTTCTATGATGACCACGTCTGAGACACCATGGGTGCCTTCCATCATGGCGAGGTCATCACCCTGGCGCAACCTCCTAAATGTCGTGATTCCCTTGAATGGGATTGACCATGACAGGCTGGAGTCGCCGCAGGTCGAGGTGCAGAAGCACGCTGCGTTCCGTGAGGCACCAGCTGTCTCTGGGCCAGCGCCCGAGAGGCAGAACGATATCTCTTTTCCGCGACCCCTGCCCATCCCTCAATCCCCGCCTATCGCATGAGGTCTCACTGTTGGATATGGACACAATTCTGGTGTGCTCTTTGGGATAGTCCTAAATTACGCTAGCTGATGGCTTCATAATACATACTACGTATGGTAAGATTGGGACAATGCATAGACTACATACAAGTGGCATATTGTGGCAAGTGAATAAGGTCCTTGAAGTCCAAGTGTACAACATAATATTCCCTACAAGATGACCATCGATCACCGGTTGCCGACGGGCCGAGAGACTCCAGCAGGCTCCGGGTTTCCACTGGAGAACTCTGGGAGCTCCGTGTCCGGATACACTTTGAAGCGCTGCATATCCACGTCGTCGAGGCTATTCACCTTGTACTTCTCGTACACGAAAGTCCGGCACGAGGCCATCGTGCGGGCGCGGAGATGACGGCGGAGGGAGTCGTCTCGGCTCAGTCTATGCAAGCAATACGGACATTGGTATTGCTTTTCCATATGCCGTCGGTAATGCCTCTGCATGTCCTTCGGCGAATCGGATGTCCACGGACAGTCGGGAGCCGGGCACGCAAATTTCCCGTCAGTCTTGATGGGTCTGCCATGGTCTGTATCCTTGTCCTGCTGATGATGAGCAGTGACTTGCATGTCGAGACAAAGGATCGTACCGTTGTAACGTGACGTCCTGTTCCTTTGTGGCCCGAGCCGGAGCCAGATGACGGGGGTGCCCTTTTGGCCGGGATATTCGTTGGAGGTAGCTGATACTGAACCGGCGTGGACCCTCCATCCGGACGAGTGATATACCTGATGTGCACTATCCGAGGCTGCTGCAGCTGCAGTTCAGAAAAACTTTACTCGATTAATCCACGACAAAACCACTGACCTGCGTTGCCGGCGAAGCAATATTCGCAATGTCCTCTCGTTCTTCGTTATCGGACATTCCTATGGATGAGTCTGCCGCGGCAGAATCCTCATCGTCGGAAGGATAAAGCTCGTCAACTTCGCTTTCTCCTTCGGAGTCATAGTTGGAGTATATGCGCCGCCGGTATGCCTTCACAGCCGGGCGCTGGAATCTCACGAGCGCTGCATCGATTCTGTCACCCGTGTTCAGAACCTCCTTGGATCCGTCATCTGTCTTCATACCGGGTTTAGTGTCTTCTGGAGCCCCCATCTCTGTGTCTTTATAAATGGGTTTGGGGCTGGAAATACAGCTTTGGCTGGCACTATCACAGTCCGAGCCTGGAGCATTAGCTCCTCGATTGCAGGATTGGGATTCCGAAGGTAGATGGGGCTGCTGAGAATGTAGTAAATGAAATTAGACGTCGAAATCAAAAAATCACAGGCGGCACGCACTTCATCGACAATCTTCTTCTCGGCATCATCGAGGATAAAGTAGTCGATGTCATCAACGCTGTTCCTTCGCCCGAACACGTCATAAACGCCGGTACTGTAGTCGGCAGACGAGTTAAAGGGAGATGAAGCATCCATTGTTATCAAAAAGAGTCAAATTTGAACGAAGAGAAAAGGTTGCAGTCGAAACCGAAACGAAGGGCTTGAGTCGTGGGGTGTGCCTCTTGCCCCCTGCGCTTTATAAGTACGTTGAAACCGGCCACACTGGTTCATTGACACTTCAGCTTGTCCGCGAGCCACAGCAGCCACATGCGAGACATGTGGGACACCGAAACAATGCGCAGTAAGGCACAACCTTTGTCCTGTGTCGACACGGCGTCACAGGTTGAGCTCAAGGCCAATCCACCTTTGTCCACACCCTGAGTGAAAATGCTTTCTGTCAAAAAACTTATCAGGTATCATCTTCCACAAGTGGCGGTTAACCCACAGCAATGGAGAGAAACGTATACCGATCGATATATATGAACACTTGACGTACTGACATAGTCCATCAGACAATTGCCAAACCTGGGAACAAAAAGTATCCTCTGGTTGTGGTGATTTTGATCAGGAGAAAGTGCGTCGCCCCGAAGCCTTAATGACAGACGGCCACTGAGCGGCCGGCCATTGTGGCCCGTGTTCGGCATGCCACCGCCACAACGTTCGAGTGGTACTTACGACGTGTGGCGATACCGCATATGGAACTCAGCACACTCACCACAGTGCGGATCGAACTTAGCTGCTCGCTATTGTTGTGTGAAATGGGCGCATTATAATATAGCTTGAAATACACTGTCGTGATCGTTTAGTAGTCTCACAGCTGAAAACACATCCTTGGTATCGGGTCATAAGACGATATGCTAGATGATACAAGTCCTGCAAGATAACCTTCACTCGTAGCACAAGATGAATATTTTACCTGATTTCACCGATAAGATAACTGCACCCTGAGATTGGTCAATGTTGATGGTCTCGACCGTATTGAGATCTAATTCCTCCGGGATGTCTAGCGTCCTGACGGTGCCCCCGACATCGGTCTGCGGTCCCCGGATCCATCGCTCCCCGTTTGCGTCATAAAGGCCATCGCGCTCAGTGGCGATTGGGGGAAATGAAACGAAGCGAAGCCGTTTTCCTGTCGTCGCAGTACCATTTTCCACCCACACAGCGTGTCCGAAGTCGACGGCCATCAGTGGGCGCGGTCGCTCGGCCTGTACCTGGCCGCCCTCTCCATCTTCATCCACGCCGTCCACTACACAGACGACCTCGAATGGCTCGCTGACGTACCACACTTTCATCATCGCATGGTCGCCTCCTCCAGCTATGGTCAGAGTCCCCAGGCTATTCTCGGAACTCGCACCAGAGAAGGAGCCAGAGCGCGAACTAGACGCAGAAGATGCAGAACCAGATCCGGATCCGGAGCCAGAGCCAGAGCCGGGGCGCGACTCCGTTTGATAGCGAATGTGCTCGTCCCCGTCCAGCTCGAACAGTGGTACCCGAAAGTAATGCTGTGCGAGAACGAAGCGCCCACGCTCCGGGCTTACTTCATGATCTGAAAGGAGAACGACCGTGCAGCTGAGCCTTGGGATTGTTGGAAGGGTCGGCCACCATTGTCGCACAAAGTGCGCACTCTCGGGATACCAGGGAGGCAAGGGAAATGGATTAGGATTCAAAGAGGGTGGGGGGTTGTCAGAGGCGTTATCGGTTGCAGGCTCATCCTCGACAGCTTCAAAAGTCCCCGGTAAGGTGGTTTGTGGGGTGGCAGGTGGCGAGGGAAACAGAAAAGGTGCGGTCATCGTCATTGAGGGATCGAGCTTGGTAGATATCGAGGGTACAAAGTTCTCTGAATCCTGAATTGGTCTGTTGAATCGTCGTAAAAGAGACAGAGGGTAGAAGTACTGGTTGGCATGGTCGCTCTCCTCGGAGTGAATTACAATCTGTTCTTTGTGTAGTATGCATGACCAATTCGAGGATACAGACTAAAGACAGTGTTAGAAGACGCTCGGTATGCAGTCAAATGCACTTACACATTCTATGTCTGTGTCTATGAAAACATACTCCGGCACATCCCAGTCTAGCAGGGTGAATAGCGCTATTGTGTTGGACGAAGCCACCCAGACGAAGGCGGACAAGAGTCTTAACGAGGGATCAAGTAGAAAGACGTTCATGACCACTCCGAATGTTTTGAACGTGGCCAGCTTGGTGAACGTTGGAGGCGAGGGAGGACCGCTTCCCTCAGGGCTGGGGAAGTAAAGCTTCATCAAGACGAACTCCATAAGGCGATCTTCATATCTGCGGAGCCGAAATGTGTAAGCCGGTGATCGATAGTGATATTAGCAACTCACGATCGACGCAAAACCTTTGCCATGGTAAAGAACACAGAGCGAATGTCGAATTCGACGCGGCATTTCCAGAGCTCCCAGCGCTCGCGCGGATCCCATTCTACTAGACAAGTATCTTGGTGAACATCCCAGCAGACGACCTTTCCGCTCTTCGTGGCGCATAGGCTGTAGCTGCCGGTGATCGGAGACAGCC